TAAACCCCAAAATACATTACGGCAAAGACTGGTTCATCCCAAAGATCCAGTCCCCCGGCACAAACAGAGTAATATTGTGTATGCTGTTCAGTGTCAGGAGGGCTTTGATCAGTCTTACATCGGGGAAACTAAACAGCCACTGGCCAAAAGGATGGCCCAGCACAGAAGATCAACATCATCAGGCCAGGATTCTGCGGTCTACACTCATCTCCAGGCCAGCGGTCACTCTTTCAGGGATGAAGATGTTCACATCCTGGACAGAGAGGAACGATGGTTTGAGAGAGGAGTAAAGGAGGCCATCTTTGTGAAAATAAATCGTCCATCATTAAACAGGGGTAGAGGCCTTAGGGTCCAAATGTCCCCCTCTTACAATGTTGTTATTGCTAGTATCACTCAACCCCCTGTGAATAGTAAACAGCCATCAGTCTGCTAATGATCCATTGTTAGGCTGATGGTCCTTCTTGACCATGTGAGCAGCTGGTTTTGGTTGTCAGCAGCAAATTGGTTGATCCACTCTGAGAAGGTGCTATTTAAGAGACTGAGCTGAATACAGCACCTCAGACTGAGGAAGTCTCTCGGATGAGAGACGAAACGTTGCTATATTTTTTTGCTTTGTTTTGTATTTTGTTTTTTTGAATGTCCAGAGGACCAGATTGAACTTTTTTGGATTTTTCTACCTGGATTATTGAGCATGCATCAGGATAGTACTGTACTAACCGTCTCCATTTTTGAAGATTATCTCATTGTTGGGGAAAAGCAGCTCTGACATGATGTCGGGGTTTTCCCAGTTCAACCACAGGGGTCGCTTCGCCGAAGACATGATCCTACACTCCTCCAGCCTACAAACACAACACTGTGATTTAGTTTTACTAACTGTTTGGTTGTTCAGTTATTTAGACTGATGTTTAGTGGGTTATTTGATGGGTTGGTTAGTCGGTTACCTGAGATTTCCCAGCTGGTGAACTGGGTTCAGAGGAGACACAAATCCCTGAAGAGAATCCATATAGTCTGGACGGGACATGTGTTCAACCAGGAACTTCATCTGAGTCTAAGAACCAATCACAGCATAACAGCAGGTCCATGTCAGCTATCACAGAATCAAACAAAATAACATTTTCGTTTGTGTTTTCTTACTTTCTGGGTCTCATCCTTCTTCTCCTGCTTCAGAGTGTCTGTCAGGTTCACCAGTTTATCCATGGCTTCCACCTACACACACACACCAATGTTCGGTTTTAAATTTAATTGTGACCACTGTATTTACTGGACTGTTTATTTAAAAATCTGAAAAAAAAAAAGCCCAACTTTATCCATCCATTCATCCATTTTTGTTGTAATTTCGGGCAACCCAGTTGTAACGCGACCCAGAACGACTCAAGACTCAGGATTCAAAAAGTGTTATTTATTTACAGTGTTCAATATATACAATATGTACAGGCCCTGGGACCGGAACTCCTGGAAGAGGGGAATAGTCTTTAGGCAGGAGCAGGTAAGTGACACAGTTGAGTTGATACTGAATTTGTTGTTTTTGTCTTACAGCTTCCTGGGTACTGGAGTGAGTCCAATGAGTCCAGGAGGCATGAGTCCCAGAGACAGAGCATGGGTATCCAAGATCCGGAAGGCAAGGCACGAGAGACCAGACAGGAACTGAGTGACCAGGACTGGAACGGGCACGGCAAACGAGGAGGTGCTGGCACAAAAACCACAAGGTAAGTATTTCAAATACTTTAGAAACAAAGGGCTGAGAGCATCAGTGCAGTCATCTTGGAGCTGAAGCCAGTGCTACTCTCACATTACCCGCCCCCCCCCCCCAAGAATCGCCTCCAGGCGACCTGAGGCGCTTCTCGGGGTGTGCTCTGAAGAAAGTCGTGATGAGAATTGGGTCCAAGATGAATGAGCGGGGGATCCAGGATCTCTCCTCCGGGCCGTATCCTTCCCAGTCAACGAGATACTGGAATCCCCTGCCTCGACGTCTGACGTCCAAAATGGCACAAACCGTGAAGGCGGGGAGATTGTCGATCAACCGGGTGGGTGGAGGGAGGTTGGCAGGTGGGCACAGTGGACTCTCGGATACTGGTTTTATCTGTGAGACACGGAATGTGGGGTGGATCCTCATGGAGCTGGGGCGTTGAAGGCGGACTGCTGTGGGGTTGATTATCTTGGTGAGGATGAAGGGACCTATGAAATGTTGGGCCATCTTTCTGGGGATGTCCTTTAACTGTATGTCTCTTGTGGAGAGCCACACTTTTTGACCCACCTGATAGGACGGAGCGGAGGAGCGTTGTCAGTCGGCGAACCTCTTATTTTGGGCCGCAGTGCGGAGGAGGGCTGCTCTTGTTTGCAGCCAAACGCGTCGACATCTACGGAAGTCGTGCTGGACAGACGGCACCGTGATGTCCGTCTCTAGACTAGGAAACATGGGGGGCAGGTAACCCAGAGAGGCTTCAAAAGGAGACATACCTGTGGCTGTGGATCTGTGAGTGTTGTGGGCATACTCCACCCATACCAGATGTTGAGACCAGGCTGAAGGGTTGCTCTCCACAACCCAACAAAGGGTACTCTCGAGTTCCTTTCAGCCTGGCCGTTTGACTGCGGGTGGTAGCCCGAAGTTAGGCTTGAAGATGCCCCCAGGGTGTTACAAAACGAACGCCAAACCTGAGAAATAAACTGTGGACCACGGTCAGAGACAATGTCGGAGGGAATGCCGTGGATACGAAAAACATGCTGAACTAATAGTTGTGCGGGCTCAAGAGCGGATGGTAACTTTACTAGAGGAATGAAATGTGGAGACTTAGAGAATCTGTCAATGACAGTTAATATGACCGTGTTTCCTTCGGACGGGGGAAGTCCTGTGACAAAATCCACCGATTTGTGGGACCAAGGGCAGCTGGGTGAGGGCAGTGGTTGTAAGAGTCTGGCCAGGGGTTGGTTACTTGTCTTGTTACGGGCACATGTGGCACAAGCAGCAACAAAGTCCTTGACGTCTTGTACAAGCGTCGGCCACCAGAAGTGAGACTTTGTTAGGGACAACATGCGTGTTACTCCTGGGTGACAAGAAAGTTTATTTGTGTGAACCCACTCCAGTACCTTTGACCTCATGATAGAGGGGACGAACAGGGTTCCGGAGGGTCCCAGGCCGGGGTCGGGCTCCTCCTTGTGGGCATCGTGGACCTCCTGCTCAATGGGCCATGTGAGAGCCCCGACGATGCATGTGGGAGGAAAGATGTGTTCCTCGGGCTCGGGAACGTCTGGAGGAGAGAACTGACGTGACAGAGCATCTGGCTTGATATTTTTCGAGCCAGGTCTAAAAGTCAAAATGTAATTAAACCGATTGAAAAATAAAGACCATTGTGCCTGTCTGGGGGTTAATCTCCTAGCATCCCTTAGATAAGTCAGGTTCTTGTGATTGGTCCAGATAAGGAAGGGGGTCTCAGTGCCTTCCAACCAGTGACGCCATTCTTCTAAGGCCAGTTTGACGGCCAGTAGTTCGCAGTTACCCACATCATAATTACGCTCGGCTTGGGACAGACGCCGAGAAAAGAAGGCACAGGGGTGTACTTTATTGTATCTTGGGGATCTCTGAGAGAGGACTGCCCCTACCCCAGTGTCGGAGGCATCCACCTCTAGGACGAACTGGCGTTCGGGGTCAGGATGGCAGAGGATGGGTGAGGAAGAGAAGAGTTGTTTCAGTCTATTGAAAGCCGTGTTTGCTTCTGTAGTCCATTTGAAGGTTCTATTAATGGAAGTAAGCTGAGAGAGTGGTGCGGCAATATGGCTGTAGTCCCTGATAAAGCGTCTGTAAAAGTTTGCAAAACCTAAAAAATGCTGAAGCTGTTTGCGAGTCTCTGGAATGGGCCATTTGACTACTGCTCTAATCTTCTCAGGATCGGTACGATAATGCCCCTCCCCGAAAATAAACACCAGAAAAGAAACTGAAGAAGCATGAAACTCACATTTTTCACCTTTGACGAATAATCGATTCTCGTATAAACGCTGAAGTACAGTTCTGACCCTTCTGATGTGCTCCTCTTTGTCACGTGAGTAAATTAAAATGTCATCGAGGTATACAAAAATGAAGTCTCCTAAGAAGTCTCTAAGCACGTCATTCACTAGCGCCTGGAAGACGGCAGGAGCGTTAGTGAGACCAAACGGCATAACAAGATATTCGAAGTGGCCTAACGGGGTTCGGAAGGCCGTCTTCCATTCGTCGCCTTCCTTTATGCGTACCAAGTGGTAGGCATTTCGCAAGTCTAATTTTGTGAAGATAGTAGCTGACTGTAACTGCTCATGTATGGAATCTATGAGGGGAAGAGGATACTTGTTTTTGATTGTAATACTATTTAATCCCCGGTAATCGATACAAGGGCGGAGGGTTTTATCTTTTTTCGACACAAAGAAAAAACCTGCCCCTACCGGGGAGGTGGAAGGACGAATGATTCCTGAATCAAGTGATTCTTCAATGTAATTTTTCATGGAATCCCTCTCTGGGCCCGAGAGGTTGTACAGGCGGCTGGCCGGTAAGGGAGCGCCGGGGAAAAGGTCTATGGCGCAGTCGTAGGGTTGGTGCGGTGGCAGAGACAAAGCTTTCTGCTTGCTAAATACTGGAGAGAGATTGTGATACTCGGGCGGGATGGAAGTTAGATCGATCTCTTCGATGTTGGCGTCTTGTTTAGTAGGGTTAGTGATCCCAGAGCGGAGGCAGTGTTTTAAACACCTCCCACTCCATTTCTCTATTCTGCCAAGCTCCCAATTAATGTGAGGGTTGTGGAGCTTCAACCAGGGATACTCCAAAATCAATTGGTCATGAGGTGAATCGAAAACAAAGAAATTAATGTTCTCATGGTGGTTGCCAGATGTTATCAGGTGTAGGTCGGTGGTGCGGTGTTGAACCTGGGCTAAGGTGTCGCCCGTGACCCCCGCTATGGAAATGGGAGGTATTTTTAAAGTGGGTAGGGACAATTCAGTGACAATACTTTGACTGATTAAATTTTGTTCAGCGCCAGAGTCTATGAGTGCAGAAACAGGGAAACGGTTGTGATTTACTTGGATGACCGTAGCTATGGTCAATCTGCTTAATGGGGAGAATGAAGAAGTCCCCACCAATATCTCCCTCTTTATTGGTGGGTGTTCTCGTTTCCCCTAAACGGACAGGCGGCAATAAAGTGCCCATCTTGGCCGCAATAGATGCATAATCTTTGCTCCCTTCATCTTTGTTTTTCGTTGGGAGCTAGGCGGGTGCGTCCCACCTGCATGGGTTCAGGTTCAGGCAGGGCGAGTGGGGGCGGAGATGCGAAGGCTTGATGAATCTGGGGTTTGTAGTACTCAGAAGGAGTTTTACTACGGAAGACATTGAGTGACAGACCCAAACTGGAAGTGGTGGTCTTCAGGGAATTATAGTCACGTTCCGCCGCCGCTCGCGGAAACGTTCGTCGAGTGCTACGGCTAAGTTAATGAGTGCGTCAAAGTTGGACGGCTCGTCTCTTGCGGCGATCTGATCCTTTAACGGATCCGATAAGAAGTTCAAGAAAGTACCCTGCAGCGCCCTCTCGTTCCACCCTGTTTGTACTGCGAGGATGCGGTACTCGAGGGCGTGTTCGGCTACTGGACGCCGGCCCTGACGTAAGCCCAGGAGACGTTTCTCAGCGTTGGGACCCGATAATGGCCTGTCGAATATTCTATGAAATTCAGTGAGTACCGAGCTAAATGTGACAATTCTTAAATCGTGTTGGCGGAGGAAAGAGGTTGCCCACCGGAGTGCGTTACCTTTTAACTGACTTGTAAATAAGTGATCTTAGCATTGTCTGTGGCGTAAAGTCTAGGAGCCCCACTAAACGCGAGCTCGCATTGGAGGAGAAAACCGTCACATTGATCCGGGTCACCGGAGAAAAGTTCGGAAGGTTTTACCAACACTTGTTGCTCCGACGGGTGCCTCGCCGAGCACGTACACGTCGGGCTGGCCTCAGGAGGTTCTGCCGCGGCTGTAGGGGAAGAAGGGGAGAGAGTCTGTTTAATGGAGAAAGCCATGCCTCCAAGCTCTTGTAGGTTAGCTTGCGTCTTTTGTTGTTGTTTTATCATTTGTGTGAGCATATTCTCCAGCTGGTTTAACCGTTCCATTTGTGAGGAGGATGTGGCTGGGTCGTTCCGAGCCTCGTTCTGGGTTTGGTCGGGCTGGAGCATTTCTGTTGTAATTTCGGGCAACCCAGTTGTAA